ATGGACCTAGCTATGAGTCGGAGCTGACCTGACATCACTTAACAACAACAACTGAAGGAAGAAACAGACAATTCAACAATAGTAGTTGGAGACTTCAACACAATATTGGATAGGATAAATATGCAAAAGATGCACAAAAGCAGCTAAGACATACACAGCACTATAACCGAACAAGCCTTAAGAGACATGAACAGAATACTCCAGCCAACTAACACATCTTTTGTGGAGCAGTCCTCAGGATACACCATCGCAGAACAAAACAAGTCTCCATAAACTTTAAAAAGACTGAAAACACACCAGGAATGCTCTTGGATTGCACTGAAATAAAACTGGAGATGGTTAGGAGAACGAAATTTGGGGAAATTAAAACTATGAGGAAAATTTAAAAACACACTCCTAAATAACCAATACAAAGATGAAATCACAAAAAGGAAATCAGAAAGTATTCTGTGTATCTATGTGTGTGTATCTGTGTCTACACTTAGCTCAGTGTCTGACCACTCCTTAAATAGCAGCTGAATTTGATTCTTAAAACACCCACACACATATGAGGAGAAAAAGATGGGCTGATTCCCAGGAAGTTATTTTGAGAATGTATTTAAGCACAAAGAAGCCCTGGTAGTGTTGTAGGTCAGGTGCTGGGCTGTTAATCTCAAGGTTATTGGTTCAAGCCCACAAGCTGCTCCAAGGGAGAAACATGAGGCTACCTGATGATACCCATATACCTTTACGCAAGACCTGTTAATACCACTATTATTCAAATTTACACAACAACCACTAAAGCCAGTAATGATGAAGTTGAAGAATTCTATCCACTTCTTCAGACTGAAATTAATTAAATATGCACTCAAGATATATTGATAATTATTGGTGGTTGGAACATTACGTTTAGAAGCAAACAGGAACGTTGGAAAATATGACCCTGGTGATAGAAATGATTCCAAGATCAATGGCTTATTCATTGCAAATATCTTTTTTAAACAACATAAAATACAACTATATACATGGAGTTCACCAGATGGAATATACAGAAATCAAGTTGACTTCATCTGTGGAAAAAGAAGGTGGAAAAACTCCATTTCATCAGCTAAAACAAGGCCAGGGGCAGACTATGGAACAGACCATCAATTGCTCATATGCAGATTCAGGCTGAAGCTGAAGATAATTAAAAGAAGTACATGATAAAAAAAATATGACCTTGCGTATATCCCACCTGAATTTAGAGACCATTTCAAGAACAGATTTGATGCTGTGGACACTGAAGACCATACAGGAAGAAAGCAAAAAGTCATTTAAGAGACAAGAAAGAAAGAAAAGACCTAAATGGATGTCAGAGGAGACTCTGAAACTTGCTCTTGGGCATGAGAAGCTAATGCAAATGGAAGAAATGAGGAGGCAAAAGAACAGACCAGGAAATTTCAAAGGGCAGCATGAGAAAACAAAGCCAAATATTTTAATAAAATGTGCAAAGACCTGGAGTTAGAAAGCCAAAAGGGAAGAGCACTCTCAATATTTTTCAAGCTGAAAGAAACCAAGAGAAAATTCAAGCATTAGACCAATCTGCTGCATAAGACTTCTTTAAAGTGTTCAAGAGCAAAGATGTCTGTTTGAGGACTAAGGTACGCCATGTTATTTTCAATAACCTCACATGCATGTGAAAGTTGAACAATGAATAAGAAAGACTGTAAAAGAATTGCTACATTTGAATTATGGTGTTGGAGAAAAATATTAAAATACCAAGGACTGCTCTAGAAGAACAAACAAATCTATATTTGGAGAATTACAGCTAGAATGTGCCTTAAGAACCAGGATGGTGAGATTTCATCTCTCATACTTTGGACATGCATATTATCAGGAGGGACCAGTCTCTGGAAAAGGATATCATGCTTGGGAAAGTGGAGAGTTGGCTTACAAGAGGAAGACCCCAATGGGATGGACTGACACAGTGGTAGCAGCAATGGGCTCAAATGTTACAATTGTGAGGATGGCACCGGACTGGGCAGTGTTGCATTCTGTTGTGTGTGGAATTGTTATGAATTATAACCAATGCGTCCATACTTAACAACAGTTTTGGTAAAGATTGACAGTCTGGGAAAAACTATCTAGATAGGGTTGCTATGAGTTGGAATTGACTCGGTGGCATTGGGTTTGGGTTTTTTTTTTTGCTTTCTTTAAGAACGACTAGTTCAGAATTCACGGGTCCAATTCTGAGTGCCCTAGGTTTGTGGTGGTCAATCTCTAGAGCTGGGTTGGAGGAGATGGTGGTTTGACTTCTTAAACCAGCAAGATCTGGGTTGGCATCTCTCTCTCCTAACTGCTTGCTGGGTGGTGTGGGCCTTGATGTTCTCACCTGGACAGTGACAACAGACCCCCCTTCCCCGCTGCCTAGGGCTGGGGGCGAGTCAAACACAGGGATGTGCTCGATAGTCCGGTACAGGGCCAGAGTGTGGCTAGTGGGCAGTGCATAACAGCAATTAGTACCCATTAATGTACAGATATTAAAAACAACCCACTGCTGTTGAGTTGAGTCTCTCACTCAGAGTGTCCTTGTAGGACTGGGGTACAGTAGAACCGCCCCTCAGGGCTTCCAAGGCTGTCAGAGCAGACAGCCTCATCTTTCTCCCACCTGAGGAGCAACTGGTGGGTTGGAACTACTAACATTCAGCAGCTCAGCGCTTAAGCACTGCATCCCCAAGGCTCTCACCATATGTCATTCTTTGCCCTTGAGTCGACTCTAGAGTAGGACTGTAGGAAGGAGTGGAACTGCCCCATAGGGTTTCCAAGGTTGTAAATCTTTACAGAAGCTGACTACCTCATCTTTCTCCATAGGAGCAGCTGCTGGATTCAAACCGATGATCCTTCAGTTAACAGCCAGTGCTTAACCATTGCTCCTAAGCTTGCCACCAAAATCAAAGGCTCACTGCCGTTAAGTTGATTCTGACCCCTACTGACCTCTAGGCCAGACTAGAACTGCCTCATGGTATTTCCAAGTCTGGTAACATACATGGCATGGTGAGGTGGTTAAAGCACTGGCTTTTAACTGGGAGGTTGGTGGTTTGAAATAACCAGTGGTTCTGCAGAAGAAAGATGTGGCAATCTGCTTCCATCGAGATTATAGCTTTAGGAACGCTATGGGGGTAGTTCCGTTTTGTCGTACAGGGTTACTATGCTTGGAATTGACTTGACAGCATTGAGTTTGGGTTTGGGTTTGAGTTTGGAATAGGGCTGCTGTGAATCAGAATCAACTCAATAGCAATGGGTTTGGAAGCTGAAAATCACCCCTTTCTCCTGAGACTCAGTTGGTGGGTTCCAAATCCCGACCTTTGGGTCTGCAGCTGAACGCTTCAACAGGGTTCCATCCTAAGGAACTGTTACTAGCCACCTAAACCAAACACTAATCCCATTGCCATCGAGTCGATTCCATCTCACAGGGATCCTATACAGGATTTCCAAGACTGCAAATACTCACAAGAGCAGACAGACTTTCTCCTGCGGAGTGGCTGGGGGGGTTTGAACCAGCTACCTTGTAATTAAGTCCAGCACTGATTCTTCACTATCAGCAGGGTTCCTTAATAGCTATGCTGTGGAGAACTAATGCTCACAGCTAGTGATAACGACCCAGGAATACTTATCACGGAAAACACACAGACTCAGGGCCAAAGGACAGGCATAGTCAGGTCCCCGGGAGGATGGGCCCTAATTGCCCCAAATCAGTACTGAGCCTTCTGGTCACTTGGTCCGAGGAGGAGCCAGAACAAGGCTGCTGCTTCCTTATCTCACAAAGGCAGATGCAGTCTGGCAGGAGTGTGCTTGCCACGCCGCAATCTTAGGAACCCGCACTGCTTCTGCCCAACGCTCCCAGGTGAATGTGAACCCGCCGCTGCCCACACCTGGGGAGGGGGGCTCGTCTGCAAGCCACAATTGGAAGGAAGTCGGGTCTAGGGAGATTTGGGACTCAATAAGGCCTGGGTCCAGGTCAGAATGAAGGGGAGACTGATTCTAGATTAAATATTGATTTGGAGGATGAATTCCAGAATGTGGGGCGTGTCAGCAAGCAGAGCAGTAACTTGGGAATTTCGTTCCTCTGAAGGGCAGCAAAGGGTTGAGTGGGGACTATGCTTCTAACTGCTTCTTTGGCAGACTGTGTTCGTAGATGTATGAGGCTTGAGACCAACCATGTGTTCCGAGGAAAGGAAACTGCCTAGGGGGCTGCATGGTGCCTCTTCTCTGAGTTCCCCCAAAGACTGCCTCCACATCTAAAACCAGAAAACCTAAACCCACTGCTGCCCAGTCCACTCTGACTCATAGTGACCATCCAGGCTAGAGGGGAACTGTGCCCGAGGGTTTCGGAGGCTGGCTGTCATCTTTGCTGGAGCAGACTGCCCCATCTTTATTTTGAGGAGCGGCTGATGCAGCAGCCCAATACCGAACCCACTGTTCCACCAGGGCTCCGCCCTGTAAAACTTACAGCCTTGGAAACCCTCTGGGGTAGTTCCACACTGCCCCACAGGTTCCTTGTGAGTTGGAATCGACATGACGGCAGCAGGTTAGGGCATTTCTTGGAGCCCCTCAGTATCACAAATGGTTAACTAGCTCGGCTGCCAACTGAAACATTGGGAGTGTGCGTCTACCTAGAGGTTCCTCAGAAGAAAGTCCTGGCAGTCTCCTTCCAAAAAATCAAGCCACTGAAAGTCCTGTTGGCATACAGTCCTACTCAGACACATGCAGGGGTACCAGGAATTGGGGCTGACTTTATGGTACTGCATTTTTCTTGTGGATCCTCGGTGTTGAAGAACTCGGTGGGGGTGGGTGGAGCACCTGCTCAAGGCTGTGAGTGAGGGGCTGAGGTCTTCTCTTCCTCTGTAATGTGGGGCCCTTTATCGTCCTCTCTGTCCCCCCTCTTTTCCACTGGTGGCTACTTGGAGACTTCAGTAGGACAAGTCATGTGAGCCCTGGAGACAGTGGGGGCCAGTCCCCCAGAAACAAAACACCACACTCACCTCAGACTCAGACATGTCCATGGACTTCTCTTTGAGGTTGACGCTCTCCGTCAGCACAGCCCCGTTGTACTTGTTGCAAATATCCTCATCGGAGTAGTGCAGCCCACCCGGGCTGGGTCGGGGAGGGGACCTAGGCAGAGGGGGTGGGGCAGCAGTGACTCCATCATGCTCTTTGCTATTTCACTTTCTACATAACGGTCTCACTCCTGGGCAGTGCCCTTCAAGGTCAGAGGATAGATGTGACATCTGCTGGCGGGGAACCAAACATGAACTGTTGCTAAACTTCTCTGAGACAAGTCTTTCCTGGTCTTGAAATGATGGGTGATTGTCTTTTCATGATTTGTTGGTTGGCTGGTTTTATGCAATAGAAACAACTGGTCTCTCAGTGGCCAGAGGAGACGCTTCCCTGTGGTCTTCAGCCACCTGCCCTAAGGTAAGCTATGTGGGGGCTGGAGACCGTCTTTGCTTTGGACTGGGCACCTGGTGGGACTGGCAGAGGTCAGCTGCAGGTGGAACATTCCCCTGGTTGAACTGCCTCCCATCCTCAAAGAATGAGGGGCTGCTGGCCCATTCAGAGGGTTGGTGTCATTGTGTCTTCCTTTAAATAGTGTGTCCCCAAACATGTATCAACTTAGCAGAGCCATGATTCTCAGTATTCTGTGAATGGATGTGATCTTTCTGCATGCTGTGAGTCCTCACCTCTGTGATGTTAACGGGGTGGGGTGACAGGTAGTTATGCTAATGAGGCAGGATGCCATCTACAGGGTTAGGTTATATCTTGTGTCAATCTCATCTGAGATATAAAAGAGACTAAACTAGTGAGCAGCAATCACAGGGAGCTACGACCACCAAGAAACAAGAGCCAGGAGCTGAGCAAGCCTTTGGGTCCAGGGTCCCTGCACCTTCTAGATCCAGGGGAAGACTGATTCCAAGAATCTTGCCTCAGAGTCAATAGAGAGATCCTATCCCTAGCTCTGGTAACCCTGAATTCAGACTCTTCGCCTCCTAACCTGTGAGAAAATACATTTCTGTTTGTAAAAACCATCTGTTGTGGTATTTTTGTTACAGCAGCATGAGAGAACTAAGACAGCTAGAGATTCCCAAGCTTAGCAGTGTGGGTAAAACATAGGCATTGCTTGGTGCTGTGGACTTTATAGACAATGAAGGGAGATGCGACCCTTCTGGTCTATGGCTTCATGGCATCATCATTTCACTTCAGTGCAATGAAAAACGAACCACACTGTTGGCTATGACACTAGAAGAACCTGATGGTAACCAGCTCCCATGACTGATCATTTTCATTACAGATTCTACTGAAGAGTCCTGATCAAAAGGGGGGAACATGTGGAACGTATTTTCAAATGTTCATGGAATCCAGATTTTTGGAGCCATGAAGTCTGGAGGAACCCTCCAAACTGAGATCATCTTTAAACCTTAAACCCAAAATTCCCCTAAAGCCTTCCTTCTTCAAACCAACCCTAATTTTAGTTTAATTAGTACAGAATGCCAGCCTTGAGCACTGTGCACTTTTAAAGAACTATTGATTTGGGATCAAATTGACCATGACAACTGGTAAGGTTCCATAGGAAGCTTAGGGGGCACTGAGTTTCTGTTTAATGGGGGGCTGTACAATTCAGAAGAGGAGGGTGACAATGGTTATAAAACTCAGCGTAATCCATGCCACCGAATGCTGCTGAACTGGTCTGTGTTCTGCTATGTGTGTTTTCACCAACAACCACAATAAATCAAATACTGACTAAGTGAGCCAACATCCGGTCCAGTGAAGAGAGGCTCCTTAATGCTGGGGACCCCAGGATGCCCTATTCACCAGAGAAAGCATCCTCAGAAGACCCCTCCTCTCAGTCAACAGTGATTGGACCAGAAGACGGAACTCTAGATATAAGGACAAATCAAGGTTGCCTCACTTTTCTTTGGGAAGCCATGCTTCCTGCTAAAATAGAGGACAGGGGGCGATAAGGTAGTGGAAATCACCCACTCTGAGTCCTTGTCCCCAGGCTTGATGGCAGTCTGTTGAAATACTGTGGACTACATCAATCATTAACACCCAAATGCATTGACATTGAGTTGATTCTGACCCCAAAGACCCTGTAGGACAGAGAGAATGGCCCCATACGGTTCCCTAGACTGTAAGTTTTCACTGAGCAGTTGTTTCCCAAGGAGTGGCTGGTGGGCTTGGACCCCAAGCTTTAGCTTAGTAGCCCAGCACTTAACCACTGTGCCACCATGGCCCCTCTTGGAATACATGAAGGGAGGTAGCTATGGAACACAAGTCAGCCCATGGGGTTGGGGGGTGGGTAGTGGGTGGGGTGCGTCAGGCCCTTGGGCAGACGCAGTGCCCTACCTGGTCCCGTTCTTCTTAGAGAAGGTGTTCTTGATATTGAGGTGGCGACTGTTGAGTTCCAGAGTCACAGACTCCTCCACGTTGGAGACGTTCTTACCTAAATTCAGGCAAGAATCCAGGTGAGATGTCTTACCAAACAACATGCCCACTGAGCACCCAGTACACCCAAGTCCAGAGCTGGCAGGTCTGGCTCAGCATGGAGTCCAGAGAGGAGAAGAGCCACGTGGCACCTGCCCTGCCGGACATGTGGCCCACATCACTACTGCAATACAACTGAGCATGCTTCAAAGAGTTCATGGGAAAATGGAGTGAAGAAATCATGGGAGTTTCCCATGCACGTTCTGAATTCCTCGTATTTCGCCTAGTGTCTAAATGCCGGTGTTCAGCCTGGTTCTTTATGAAAAAGAACTCCAAATCCATCAATTAAAAAAAAAAAAAAGTGAGAAATGAGATATTGAATACATTTCATAATTTAAAAAAAAGATAACAATAAGACATTGCATATAAAGCAAAGTTGTAACCACAGACTGAAATAAACTCACAGATGTTTTAGCAGCACAAGTGGCTAAATATAAAATTAGGCGGAAATGGGCTACATACAAAAATTTCCAGTGTCCTGTGATTGTCCATATGCTATTTCTGGTCTGACATGTCTCCATCTCTTGGACATCACTACATGTGACCTTCCCTTTGATGTCATCTATCTGACGCCATTAGCATTCTGATATCATCTATATGATGGCATCAGTGTTCTGATGTCACCTGATCTTATCAGCTATTTGACATCATAAGCTATGACAACATCTACTGACTTCGATGTCTCTCTGACATCATCTGCTTTCTGATGTCAGCTCCTCTCTGATGTCACCGTCTTTCTGACATCATTGGCCTTTGACATCATCTCTCTGATGTTACCTTTCTGCCATCATTTATCTGAAATGATCTATCTGACATCATCTGCTATCTGACATCATCTACCCAACACCATCTGTGGTGGTGAAGGTTGTGCCAACTTGGCTTGGCCAGGATTCTCAGTGTTTTGGCAGTTCTGACGTAGTTTGGCAATTATATAATGATGTGGTCTTCCTCCATGATGAGACCTGATGTAATGTCATCACCTCCATGGTGAGATCACTATGAGCAGCCAATCAGTTGAAAGAGTTTCCTTGGGCGTGTGGCCTGTTTCCAATATATGTAGACACTCAGGCAAAGCCCACTTGCTTCTTGTTGGGTCTGGATCTTGTTCCTCATCTGACTTTTGGTTCTTTGGACTTGAGCCAGTGGCCTGCCATATTGCCTGCTGGTCCTAGGATGTTGCCATCTTACCTACTGATCTTGGATTCATTTGCCTCAGCAGTTACATGAGTCAGGGAATACTCCAGTGTGGTATCTGAATCACAGACTTGTGGTGCTGCAGGTTAATGCGCTGGATTGCAAAGTCGGTTTGAACTGCAAAGTCAGCGGTTCAAACTCATTAGTTGTTCCTTGGAAACCCTATGTAGGGTTGCTTCGAGGAGTCGGAACCAACTCTACAGCACTTAGCAACAACACAATTGTGGGAGCCTTTCCTTGCAATAACATCTCCTCTCTCCGTGATAGATATATGTTGTTGTTAGGGGGTGTCGAGTCCATATACATATGGACTCCTGGTATGGTGCTGTAGGTAAATGCACTGGATCACAAGGTTGGTTTGAGCCTCAAGGTCAGTGGTTCCAACTCACCAGCTGCTCCTCAGAAACCCTATACAGGGTCACTATGAATCTGAACCAACTTGGCAACACTTAACAACAACAACAACAACAAATTAACATATTGTGTATATATATATATGTATGTATGTGTAGATATGGAGCTCTGATTGCACAGTGTTTATGAGTTGGCTACTAATCTCATAGTAAGCAGGTTGAAACTACCAGCAAGCAGCTCAGTGAGAGAAGGATGAGGCTTTCTGACCCAGTAAAGATTTATAGTCTTGAAAACTCTCTGCAGGGTCACTATGAGTTGGAACCAACTCCATAGCACATAACATATATGGATGAGTAAAAGATTATCCGCACTCTGGCTGTAGAATTTTCTTAATCAACTTTTAGAAAAAGCAAATACATTTTTCAGTATAATCTCCTTGCTTTTCAATACACTTTGTTCATTTGTCAAAAAGCTTTATATAGTCTCTTATTTAAAAAATGTTTTTGGCTGAGCTATGGGCTATGAATGTGCCACTGTTTTCACTTCTTCATCAGGGGCGAATCTCCATTCTCATAGGCCTGCTTTCAGGGGACCAAACAGGTCAAAGTCTGATGGAACAAGATCAGGACTACAGGGAGGATGCTTTAACACCTCAAAGCGAAGTTTTTGCAGAATATCAACAGTGTGGGCAGAGGTGTGCTGACGGATGTGCATTGTCATGCAAGATCCTAATGACAGCAGTCCTCTGCATTTAGTTTGAAGTTTAGGCTTCAGCTCTTCCGTGAGCATCTCACTGTAACAAGCACTGCTGATTGTTGAACATTTTCCTCATAGTGTTCCATACTGGCTCTTGAAAATCCCAGAAAACTGTAAGCATCAATTTTCCAGCTAATGCTGGAACTTTTGAACTTTTTCTTGGTTGGTGATTGAAGATGTTTTCATTCCATAATCTGCTGTTTACTCTAGGCTCAAAGTGATGAATCCATCTCATCAATTAATGATTTTTTAAAAGAAATTTTTACCTTCCTTTGAATATCGGTCCAAAATTTGTTTGTAGATCTCCAAAAACTTCTGTTTTGGTCTTTTGTGAGTTGTTTCAGTATCCATCTTTCACAAACTTTTTGAGACCCAAGTCTTTCATGGATTATTTCAGAGGCAGAGCCATGACTGATTTGCAAATGATTTGCCACATAATCCACTGTCACTCATCATTTGGTGAATAATTTCACAGGCACACTCAACGTTGTCATCAGCCATGGACATGGACAGGTATTTTAATATAACTGGAATGCAGATAATTTTTGACTTACTCACCTATATGGATGTATGTATGTATTATGTGGAGTCCTGGTGTGGTACTGTGGAATAAAGCACTGGACCTCAAGGTCAGTTTGAACCACAGGATCAGTGGTTCAAACTCACCAGCTGCTCCTCAGAAACCCTATACAGGGTCACTATGAGTTGGAACCAACTTACTGGCACTTAACAACAAGGACAACATATCTCTGCAGATATCATCAGAGTAAGGAACATTTCCAGCATCCTTTCCACCTCTCCACCAAGAAGCAACACCTAGATAGATACCTGGCTTCTGTAAGCACCTGTTAGTTTTGTTGTGGACACGTTCATATAGATGGAATCGTACTGGATGTGTCCTCTAGTGATTGGCCATTTGTTCATCTCTCTAATGATGGTGATTCATTCCATTTGTTGTTGTTGTTAAGTACCGTCGGGTCAATTCCAACCCATAGCGACCCTTGAATAGGGTTTCCGAGGAGTAGGTGGTAATTCTGAACCGCCAACCTTGCAGTTCAAATGGCTTTGCAGTCTGGTGTGTTAACCCACAGTGCCACACCAGGACTCTGATTCATTCCATGACAAGCATTTATTGAGCACCTATTACATACCACCACCTGCCTGTGAGTTTGTCATACTGCAGTGGCTTGTGTGTTGCTGTGATGCTAGAAACTTTGCCGTCACTAGTTCACATGCCAGCAGGGTCACCCACGGAGCTTCCAGATTAAGGAAGACTAGGAAGAAAGGCCTGGTGGTCTACTTCTGAAACCAACTGATGAAAACCCTGTGGATCATGACTGAAGACTGTCGGATACAGTGCCGGAAAATTAGCCCCAACCCCCAAGTTATTAGACTCTTAGAAAGCACCGTGGCTGCAGCAGACTGAGGACTGTGAGGATCACACAGGATGGGCCCTGCTTCCTTCTGTTGTGCACGTGGCCACCACGAGCCAGAGTTAAGTAAACAAAGACAAACAGCAACACTACCCACCAGGCAAGGAACCCGTGTGCGGGATCCCTCAGAAAGTTCAGAGATGGGATGCTGGGTGTGAGACCAGGGTCACATTTCTGGAACATGCTACAAGTCACAGCAGAATTTCTGAGAGGATATGCCCCAAAGTCTCTACTTTGCCCATCAAGAGTGTCTTTTTTGCTTAAAAAAGCACTGCTTTTAGTCGATTCTAACTCAGAGCAGCCCCGTAGGACAGAGCAGAGCAGCCCCGTAGGACAGAGCAGAGCAGCCCCCGTAAGGTTTCCGAAGTGGCCTCATCTTTCTCCCTTGGAGCAGCTGGTGTGTAGGAACTGAACACTGGGTATCTGAGGAGCCCCTGGTTGACACAAAAGAGTCAAGTACTCAACTACTAACTGGAAGGTTGGCAGTTCGAAGCCACCCAGAGATGCCTCGGAAGATAAGCCTGGCAATATTCTTCCTAAAGGTCCCAGCCTTGAAAAGGCTATGGGGCAGTTCTACTCAGCACACAGTGAGTTGCCACAAATCAGAAATTTCCTCAATGATACTACCTGGTGTAGTAGTTCACCAGTTTAGTGTTGATACTCTCACCACATTTATGAATACAATAGCATTTGCTCAATTGTTTGGGCACAGAGACCAATTGTTTGGGTACAGTGACCACAGGGCCGGTGGCTCACGTGCAGGCAGGGCTATGCCATCAGTGTCCATAATTCCTGTGTGGTTGCCCCAGGCTGCCTCCAGACAGGATCTGCTGCTTCTAGTGTATGGTACAGGCAGATGGTGCACAACCAGCCCAGGAGCCAGGAAATGAAAACATTTTAGTTCAACGAGCAGAGGAGCACACTTTTGAAACCCAGGGAGGGATGCCGGGATGCCCACCTGTGCTGCAGTTCTTGTATTTCTTATTCTGCCCGTGTAGGACCAGGGCAAAGGTCACCAGCAGGATGATGATCAGGCTGACCAGCCCCAGCACCAGCAGGAACCACCACTCTTCATAGAACGCGGTTTCCACTTGTCCTAGAGGAAGCATAAGGAAACGGGATGCTTCTCCAGGAACGCCCTAGTGAGCCAGCGTGGGTGGAACAGGAGGATCCCACTCCCTGTCTCTACTGCACCCCCTCCTCCACCCTCCCATCAGAGAGGAGAGACCCATGCCTGAAGGGCTTCCTACCTGACACGGCCAAGGAGGGGCTGCTGGGCTCCCCGTAGCCCACCTCGTTTACAGCCACCACGCGGAACTCGTAGGACACACCCTGCCGTAGCGTGTCCAGGTGGACGGTGTACGATGTGGCACTCCGAGGGATGTCCTTCACAAACATGTCCCACAAGCCTTCATCTGCAGGACAGAGAAGGGCACAAGAGTCTCCCATCAGAGGAAATAGGCAACAGGGAGTGTGACACTGCTTATGTGTGTGGATGCTGCATCTGCCATGCTGGTCACTCCAGGCCACCCGAGAGGAGAGTGTCAGATCTGAGGACCAGGGGCTGGAGGGGCACAGGGAGAAGTGGTTTCCCCTGGTGGTGCAAATGGCTAAATGCCCGCAAGATTGGTGGTTCAAACCCACCAACCACTCATTGGCAACACTTATATAGAGTCTCTATGCATTGGAACCAACTCGATGGAGCTTAACAGCAACAACCCTTCCCCCAAAGCATCCTGCACTCTTTGATTTATACCATGTGAAATGGCAGTTTTGGCATCTTTGAGGGACTCAAATTGGATGCCTTTTAAATGTTCTTTGAGTTTGGGGAACCAAAATGTCTGAAGGGACATGATTAGGGCTGGACGGTAGTTGGGGTAAGGTTTCTCAAAGAAGTCCTCCTAGCTATTGTTACCGAAGCACAATGAGAGATGCATTGTTGTGACAGGAAGAAAAAAAAAAAATTCCTCAGTGTGACTTTCCTGCCCTTTTTCTCACCACCAGTGCAGTTTTCCATTTTCTATGATAGTCATGATAGTCCTGTGTCCTTCAAGAAAATCTATCAAGACGACTTCTCTGAAGTCCCCAAAAACAGTCACCACAAATTCTGCCTTGAATTTATTGGTCCTGCAAGGCTCTGTCAGAAATCACTATTGGGATTGGACCTGTCATTTGAAGGCACCCTAGAGGGACTAAGACAAGTGCATTACTGACAGAACTTGTCTGCAACCATCCACTGGCCAGAGACAGGTTTAAACAAGCTTGGGTGGAAACAAACCCCTGCATGTATGAGCTGGAACCCTCAAAGCCAGACTGTTGGACTTACCCTCAGATATTCTCAATAACAACGAAAAAGTATGAAACTCTAGGGATCACAGAGATGGGTCATTACTAAGCAAATGACAACTCGAAGGCAGAAATCATATCCTGGTTATAAGAACAAGCTCAGGAGCCAGATCTCTAGGGTGCCAATCCTGGCTCCTCCAAATTAGCTGTGTTGGCTTTAGGTCAATGGCTTCACCTCTCTATGCCTTCTCTGTAGAAATAATCCATTTCATAAATTGATTCTGAGGATTAATTACACTGATATTTATAAATTTCTTAGGATGGCGCCTCACACACAGGAAGCACCAGGCAAGTGTTTGTGAAACAAAACATAAACCTGTGTCTCTACGGAAGTGGTTTGGTAGGAACGTGGCGTCAGAGCCTTGACACATTTGCCTGAAACTGCAATGTGTGTGGATGGCTTTCTTTCATCAGTGTAGGTTAGTGATCTTCTCAAAAGAGCAGCAAGGAAACACCAGTGTCTATGAAGATGCATGGACCAGAAGCATTATGGGAAGCCAAGTGTGATCCCCCTAAGGCAACCTTCTCATGGGTGTACAGAGTAAGTATTAAAATAAAGTATTGCTACAAAATCATAGAATCTTTTATGAAACAAAAACATATCCATAAAGTGGCTATTGTTTCTTGAGCTATCCTCCATCTGGGTCTTTACACTTTCCATCTCTCTAACCCCTCTCCAAGGAGTCCCTAGTGTGGCGCTATAGACAAGCATTGGTCTGCAAGGTCAGTTTGAACCACAAGGTGGGGGGTTCAAACTCACCAGCCGCTCCTCGGAAACCCTATACAAGGTCGCTATCAGTCAGAACCGACTACATGGCACTTAACAATAATAACCCTTCCCCATTGCATACTGTGCTCTTTGATTCATACCACGGGAAAGTAGAAGTTATGGCATCTTCAAAGGTGACTCAAGATATGCCGATGTGATTAAGCCCTACGGTAAACAGTAAGAAAATTGCCAGTGTCTAAGTCCACATTTGCACAGGATTTATAGTTTGCACTGATTGAACCTTTCAGCCACAGGTTAATGAAGGAAAAGCTGGGACATTGCAAGGGAGAAATGCAGCCCGATGCTTAATTATTTCTAAATATTCACGTTTAACTTCTCACCAAGAGTCTCATTGCTGCTAATTGTGTCGAGCAGACCACAGGATCTGCCTTCTTTTCTCCTGAAATAGTGAGGTCCAGAGGTGGAATGAACCTTGCATCAGAAATGGAAAAGAGAGTCCTCTGCCTGGGGAGACTAGGGACCCCCTACCTTCCCACACCACTATCCTTTCATGGATTCACTATATCCACACACACCCAAGCATGGCCACACTCTACACTCTAGCCATGGTTTACGCATCAGGGAACCAGATGAGATTGCTCTTCCCAATGAGCTTATGAGTGTATGGGCGGGGCTGAAGGAAAAACAGCAAGGTCACTCCATGTTTTCAGTCTCCTCTGCCCAAGGCTAACGCTGTCCTATCCTCTGGGCTTCCAGAGCACTCATCAGAGTTTCCTTTTCCTGCTGACCTGGCTCTCACATTTGAAAAGAATGTGTTGGCACTATCCATCCTATCCACCCATCCACCATGCATCAGTGATGTACATCCACTCATCCATCATCCAACTAGCTATTTATCCATCATCCCATCACCACCCACCCAATCATCCATCTATCATTCTACCCACTCACCATTCATCTTTTGATCTTTCATCCATCCATCCATCCATCCAATCCAGCTATCTACTATCCACCCATCCACCATCCAGCCTTCTATCTCCCATCCATCCCTCCATCATCAACCCACCTATCTAACTCTCCATTCATTCATCCATCATCTACCCATCTCTCCATCAGTGCATTCATCTATTCATTCATCCCACCCATCATCTATGCATCCATCCATTCATCTCTTTGTCCCTCCACCCTTACATCCCTATGGCCTCTCAGAAGGCCTAGAACCACCAGTTTGTTTAGTACTACCAGCAAGTTGGAGGTGCCCTAGTAGTGCAGTGAATTATGCACTGGACTATTAACCACAAAGTCAGCAGTTGAAATCTACCAGTTGCTCTGCAACTGAAAGAAAAGGCTTTCTGCTTCCATAAAGATTTGCAACCTCAGAAACCCTATACAGGGTTGCTATGAGTCGGAACCAACTTGACGGCTCCTGACCACTACTACCACCATGAGCAAGTTGGAGTCTGGAGTGGTGCAAATGTTTAATGCTCTCGGCTGCCAAGCAAAAGGCTGGAGGCATGAGTCCACACAGAGATGCTTCAGAAGGCCTGAACAATCAGCTCATGAAAAGCCCTACCGAGCACAGTTCTTTCCTGACTCACGCGGGGTTACCGGGAGTCGACTCCACAACAACCAGTTAATGAGCAAGTCGCTGTTCCAAGGGCTTTAAATGTTGAATGAATTGCAGAGTGGTTTTGTTCCTCCTAAAAAGACAGGCAATTTTATGCTGTGAAAGTACCTAATGGTGACAAGAAGACAGTCTGTTAAGAACTGGATGCTGCTTAGAACCATTGAGATGAAGGGACTAAGAGTGTAAGAGTGGTCCTTAGCTGGTGGTGAGTGGAGGGTGGGCTCCAGTGTTTGGGAACTGCTCTGTTACCACAGAGAGGAAGGGCGATGCAAAATGACGCTCTTCCTCCTCTGCATAGCCCCAAGAATGGTGTGCATTTTTCATAAAAACAGTTTAAAGGTAAACACTGTTAAGTGATGGTACATGGTGGGGGCTGCAACCACTGTAATGAAACAAAGTGTATGATTTGTGGACTGTAAAACCCACGATCTGCTCTGTTAACCTTTACTCAATTCACAATGAAAAGTTTAAAAACTTTAAAAAGATTGATACGTAATCTCCATATAGAACTAACTATTTCACAATCCACTTATGCTGAAAAGTGTGGGGTGGGGGGGGGCAGGGAGGGGTCATACAGAAAGAATCTTCTGAATTAACTGAAGAAAACGTTCACGTTTCATTCTGTCTTTGCAAATTTAGCACTGTCATCATGGTAAACCCGAGCTGTGACTCACTGAGTTCTTTGATCCATACTCAGATTTACATCAAAACTATTAGTGGATAGGGACCAAAAACAAAAACAAGGAAAATGTTGGCAGCTAACACATCCACTCTATTTCTCTCAACTGTGGATTGTTTTGTTCATTTGTATGACGCTGTTAAATATCTCAATCAGAGATGGAGAAAAGTACGTCTACAAATTAGGGAAGGGGGGGGGGGGTGGAGTAACATCACAGATGGACTGTCAGCAGCTGAGTTTCCTTGCACCAGAATGGTCCCTGAAGTGGTGGATCCCATCATTGCAATGAACACACATGGCTTGTAAAGGGCAGTTCTGGGATCCGATTCACTCTGATCTCATTGGTCCAGGGAAGACTGCCCCTGGGATGTGCCAGACACCCCCACCTAGCTCTACTTACAGGCTACTGAGAGTCATCGCTTCAGCTAAACTGGCCTCTTAGGGTCCCAGCCCCCATGCCCCCTACTGGGTTTGGGACTTTGCCCTGTCTAGGGTTCATGTCAGGAGGGAAGAGTCCACACCACAGTTGTGAGAAGGGGCCAGACCAAATTGCCTACCCTTCCTTCTTGGACACCTTAAGGGAATACCTCCCTGGACTTTAGTGACTGAAACACAGTTGGAAAAATGCCACCATTAGCTAATGAAGGCAACTCACAGAGCAATCTTGCTATCTAGTTAGCCTGATTCACAGTGAACCTGTGCACACGAGAATAGAACTCTACTCTGTCCTGCACCATCCTGTGATTGGTTGTGGATAAGGCTGTTGGGATACATAGAGCTTTTATTGGCTGATTTTTGGATATTGATTGCCAGGCCTTTCTTCCTGGTCTCTGTCCACCTGGAAGCTCGGTGGAAACCTACTCAGCATTACAGCAACATGCAAGCCTCCATGAACTGGTGGTGGCTGTGCATGAGGTCAGTTGGCTGAGAACCCAGCTGGGGTCTCCAGCATGTTGTTGTTTGTTGTTAAGTACTGTCGAGTCCATTCCAACTCGTAGCAACCCTGTATAGGGTTTCCAAGGCTGTAACCCTT